GAGGTGTAGTAGACTTATGCTCGTTTAGTAAACAAGCTTGATTTTGATTTATTTATTATTATTAACAAGTTGGATTTTAATTTAAACGAATCGAACTAAACTAAAGTTCAAAACATTAGTTAAAAAACCTATTTTCGAGCCTAATTGTAATATATTAATACTACACAATATTCTATAAGAATTTATTCATATAAATCATATCAACAAAGTGTTTTTTGATTTCCGACACTTAATTCGTATAAGTCATACTCATACACTAGCGAGTCGAGCGAGTTTGGCTCGTGAACTGAACGAGCTTGAGTTCATTTAATTAGCTGAATCGAGCCAAACTAACAAATGTTGTTTTGTATACATTAAAAGAGTGCATAGCACACGTAATTGACCATCCACACAAATTGAAGAGGGTCCAACTAATTAAAAGCACTTGCCCTATAAAAGCCAAAGAAGGTGGCAAATTTGTTTTCTGGGTAAGCACCTCGGATTTCCAAAAATAGAAAATTTATGNATATATATATATATATATAATAAATAAATAAATAAAACCCATGTCTAGATATATATGTATTTAGTTTTTACTACTAGATCAATAAATACTTTCAAGTGTTAACTTTGAAGTAAAAAACTCGATAACTGCAATCATGCTCCGTTAGAAATGTCCGACAAGAAAATCAAACTGTGGTCCATGGGCCCTGGTCCAATTTGACAGTCCCAATCAACCAGGTATTTCGAACAATATAAATTTGTTTCTCTCACCAAGAATGGTCAAACGGTCCTGTAAAGTAATTAATAATTAATAATTATTTGATCTTTTGCAATGTTGTAGAATTTTTTGTATCAATTAACTAGTAGCCGATAATATGCACAGTGCACATAGATAAATTATAAAGTTTAAATTATGTGTGTATTAAATATTAAAATTATAAAATAAATAATGTATATATCACAATTTTTAAATTTAATTATTAATAAATGAATAATATAAATATAAATTATTTAATTACGAAAGAATCTCTATATTGATTGCATAAAATGTAACACGTAACATGTTTTTTGTTACTTTGATAAATCATGATCAATTAATTACCTAGAAAAATACTGAAAAAACAATAATATTCATTACATATCTTGTTTAAGGGATTTTTTCATGTCATTAAATCAATTATATGATTAAAAAACTAATATAATTTTTAGGATAAATAGTTTAAAAACATGCATTATAACTTTTGATGATTATGTAACTGACATATACCATATAGTGTGACTTATACGTAATTGATTTTAGTAATAACTATTGTATGATAGAATAATTAATAAACTATGATTAAAATTAATTAATAAAAATTACATTATTAAGCCCAGATAGCCTAGTTATTTTAAATTTAAGACTCGCTCTTTTATTTAACTTCTCAATATAAGCCTAACTAATTACTTTTTTCCATAAATAGGTGAACCATAATATTTTTTTATAATCTATATTTTACATATTTATGACAAAAATGTTAACTATATTTAACAATTAACATAAAATGATGAAATTAATTCATATTATGTTTATGAAAAAGTTTAATAAATTGTATTTTTAAAATATTGATAACAGAATTTAAAAATGTATAATTTAAATATTATTTTCATTCATTACCTAAATATGAAATAAAATTAACATATTAATAAAAAAAATATTTATTAAAAATAAAAAATTTAAAAGTAAAGTAATAAAAAAGGAAATTGAAATTGTATTTAAATAACTTTTTCGATTTTAGAGTTTGCCTTACAAACTTTTTCGATTGACACTTTGCCTCCCATAGTAATCGAAGTTGACAATTTGCATCCTCGATTAAAACTCTAAAATGGCCAAAAAAAAGGTTTCTAACTCAATTTACGATAAATATTGAAGTAATTTTTAAATTGATTAAGGGATTTTTGAAGTCCATAGTGAGATGAACAAAATGATGTATAGTTTGTCAATTTCTTAAAATTGACAACTCGACAATTGATCGACACAGAAAGTAGGCTTACGTGTGTAGAGAAAAAAAATCAATTCAAGTTTCTAATAATCAAGATATCCGATTTTCGATTGGGAGGTGTCATTTGAAAGTTTGCAGGACCACTTTTCTATAGAATAAATCTTATGAAAATCTAACGGTCGGATTTTGATCACTAGTTAAAAAACTACTGATCAATAGTTAGCTTTTTTTAGGCTACTAATTGAAATCCGACCTTTGGATTTTCATAAGATTTACTTCATTCTCCAAGTTTTTAAATGACACATTCTAATCGAAAATGAGATATCTTGATTATCAAAAAACTTGAACTGATTTTTTTTTCTATACACACGTACTTCTACTATCTTCGTCGACCGATTACAGAGGTATCAATTTTCAGAAATCGATGCAGAGTTATCAATTTTCAGAAATCGGCAAATCATATCTCATTTTGTTCGTCTAGTCATGCGCTTTAAAAGCCCTAAATCAATTTTAAAGATTAATTTTAAAATCTATCGTTAATTGAGTTGAAAACTTTTTTGTGTCATATTTGGATTTTTAATTGAGGAGACAAATTGTCAGTTTTCAATTTCGACTACTATGGAAGCAAATTGTCAAGCCAAAATTTTTTTAAGGCAAACTCTAAAATTGCAGGTTAAAAAAAAAAATTCTCCAAATTTAATTAAGGTCAGGATAGCGAATGTTTGAATTCAGGACAAGCGGTCTTCCTGGAAACAAGTAACAACTAACAAGTGATCCTTCCTGGAAAAATCTCAGCCTGTTAAAGACAAAACAAAACTGTTGTTTTCATTCTCTTCATGTTGGTTATTAGAGACTGCTGTCGGATTGTGATGAATTCCAGTCAAACTAGCTTATTTTAATGCATAAGACAAATAAAAAACTTAGTTTTCTTCCAAAATATTCAAATACAATGTATATTTATATTGTGAAGTATTAAACTTTTATTTAATATACATATATAAATAAGTATTATGGTCAACAACATCCTCAAACGAAGTTGCATAAAATAATTTTATAAACATTGATTTTAGGTTCTAACCGTTAAACATATACTAGCAAATATCATGTGCACATGCACTACATAAAATATTATAAGTAATTTGGGAATTTAATGTTAAAATTTTCGATAATGAGCATATTACATTTTTAAAATTTAATCATTAGAAAAACTAAATTAATGATTGTTCATTATTATGAACAATTGTTTATTATCATTAGATAATAATATTTTGATTATTATTATTATTATTATTATTATTATTATTATTATTATTATTATTATTATTACAAAAACAATTGTTTATAAGATTCTAAAGTTGTTTGACTATGCTATTAAAACAATTTACTAATTGTTTTTAACGAAATTTTTTCATGAGATACAAAAGAAAAAGATAATATTGATGTTAAAATAAATAACTTGAAATAATTGTTTATAATTATGCAATTTATATTTATTGTGAATTATTATTAGTTGGTATTAACATTAATTATTATATAATTTAATAAAAAATACATGATTACACTCAATAGGATGTATTAATGTGAGAAGTAAAAAACATTAATGATAAATTTTGTAACCGAAAATGGAGAAAAAATTTTAGAGGTTTTATTAAATAGGTTTTATTAAATGCTATTAGCTAGTAATTATATATATAGAGATTTTTTGTTACAAAGGAAAATCATACTTATACACTGAAATAATAAATTTATTTATATTTTAATTAAAAGTAGGCGATTTTTTTTTTTAATTACAAAAAGAAATCATACTTATACTATGAAATAATACTTTTATTTATACTTTATTTTAAAGTATGAAATTTGAGTATGAAAGTACGTACATTTATTTGAAAAAGTACAATTGTCTAATTTATAAAAGACACAAGTCTAATCATTAGACAATAAGAACTAGAAATAAGCTTTTTTTTTAGGACTTGTGTTTGTCACTAGTTGATATATATGCACTCAATTTTGTGTACACAATGTCGTCTATACACTCACATTAAAGTCAAATGGAGCCAAAGAGTCCTTGTTGACAATTCTCCTGGCATAGTGCTAATAATGGACTAGATCAAAATGACTCAATTAAATTCTAGTGCTTCTTCTATTAGTGAAGTTTCTAGAAAAAAAAAATATATATCAAACGGCGCAATGCACCTTGGGTCGCTACGGAAACAGCCTCCTTGTATAATTACAAGGGTAAGGTCTGCGTACAACTGACCCCCCAGGCCCCAACCTGTTGGGAATATACTGGGTATGTTGTTGTTGTTGTTGTATTAAGTGACCCTTATCTTTAACTAAAAATGGTGGCATTCATTTCTACATTCAGTTAATCCAAGCACAAATTGATCTATAAGAAACTATAACCACATCTTCCTCTTCTTCCCTTTTGAACTTTCTAACTTGGTAATCTTAACAACAGACTTGAATTGGATAATTTCATTTGGTTCATGTGAATTCTGAATAAAACTACCTGTAGATAGTGATGTAATTAAACCAAACGAGCCGAGCTTGAGAGTTCCGAGCTCATGTTCATTTACATTCGAACAGTGTTGTGTTCATTCATTTTTTCGAGCAAAAAATCGTGTCCGAGCTTATTCGTGAAAGTTCGAGCTCGTTCATGTTCGAATAATTTAGCACACAAACTTTTTAAATATGTTTGATTAACTCGAAATTTGTTCGTTCAAACTCGAAAATAAAAAATAAATCAAAATATTTTTATATTTTAGATTTTTTATTAAAAATATTATGTACATATATAAAAAATAAAATAAAATTATCTTAAATTAATATTCACAAACATTATCGAACGTACACGAACGAGCTCGTGTTCGTTTGATTATTAAACGAGCCTAATTTTTTGTTCGAACTCGACTCGATTAACAAAGGAAAGAGCTTTTTTCAAAGACGAACGAACTTTGTCGCGAATGTTGGGTTGGTTAACAGCCCTACCTGTCTAGTGTTTCAATGTATGTTCTCTTCATCTATTTACATTCAATCTTTTATTTCACTATTTATCTCAAGAAATTCCCAGTAAAGAGAGCTTCAACTGATCCAAACCCATAAGAAAACATTACAAAGCTCGGTAATTAAACCGAACACGACCGCCCCCTATATATGCAGATGAACAAATCGATTAGGGCCATGAAAGTTATGAATTTAGAGAACCGAATAAGTGTAATGTTGAACTTCGAATCTAAGTACATCACATAATCGAAACATGTTAGATAAAGAAAAGCAGTAATTTTCCGAGCTTATTACAACGCCTGATCGTTCACAAAAGCTTTTTCAGTGGGCCCGGTCTCTGATCACTTCAAGATCCATCTCAGTCGGGTCAGTTGCCTGAATCTCGTGATAAATGCCGTCCAGAACCTTCTTGAAGCTATTTTTAGATGTGGCGTAAAGCATCTTTGCCCGAATTCGAGATGTTGCAGGTGACCTGATAGATAACCAGCATTCGAGAACTCATAGAGCATGCTTGGATACAAAATTTTTCAAAAAAATCCAAACATTTTTAACTCAATCACTTTTTTAACTCAACTTTAACTCAATACCACTATCATCAATATAATTAAATAATATCAATCAATCATTCTTACACACCACCTTACCTTAATTCACTATTCATCCACTCACATAATTTTAACTAACCATCATTTCAAATCTTCTCTCTCCTACTTTACATCAAATCAACTTTAATCATTTTATTTTAAATATTATTCTAATATACCCACTAACAACTAACCATACCAACTTTTTCAAAATTAACCAAACCAAACAAAAAAATCCAAACAAAACCAAAATTTTTTTATATCCAATCATCCTCATAATAATTACCAAATGGAATTTTAAACATAGGGCGCATAATTTTTCTTTCAAAATTACAAATGCCCCTCCTGCATTTTNCCACCCTCCGGATGGGGATATTTGTAATTTCATGGAAGGTAACTAGGTTCTTTGTGTGCGTGTATGTGTGTGGGATGTGTACGTAAATTGTACGATGCATTGAGGTAGATTTTCGTAATTATCAGTTACAGTTATGTCATCCTCAACGAGTAATAACAATAAAGAAAGCTGATATGGTAAATGCTCAAAATATTTGAGCAGATGAAGAATTGTGGCAATCAGTACACTTATCGGAGAAGGAAATTTTAAGAATTAAAAGGCAACAAAAAATTCTATTTGTGTTATGTTTGGTAACCAGATAAGCTAGCTTATAGTTTATTTGATTATAACTTATAACCTTTATATATTCAAATAAGCTTCGTTGGTAGGACGAGCTTATCTCATATATAATCTTTTTTGGGTAGATTTTCAAATAAGCTCGTTGTTTTTATTTCAGCTTCAATTTCACCAAACATTTTTATTTCAGCTTAGCCTATCAGTCATATAAGTCATATAAGCTATAAGCTCGAAAATTCACACTATAAGCTAGCTTTTACCAAACATAGCCTCGATCATCGTAAATCGACAATTGAGAAATTATGTTTACATGAAGGCTTTGACCATACATCAAATCAATAACAAGGAAGGAGCACAAATTATCCATAGAACAATAGGAAAAACCCTTACCAAGCAATGAAGAAAATCTTGCTCTTTTGACAATTATCTGAAGTCACGTAATCAAAGTCATAAACCGCATATCTGCAATCATTCTCCGGCAATGATTCGGAAAAGTTATCATAGCTTTCGGCGGGGCCGCCTGTCTTCTCAACCACAACCTCGTTTTTCTTTTCGTCGATCATAAAAATCACATAACGATGAGCTTTTTTCCTCTTCAATTCCAAAAACGTGTTTTTGCTGTGATCAGCAACATCCATACCAGAAGATGCATTTGGCTGGACAAGTAAAAAGATGATACATTAATTAAAAATCACCAAAGATCAAGAACGTTTGCATATATGTTAGTAGCACGTGTAAGTGATATCCGGCAAAAGTACCCTTACTATTTAGAAAATCCCATTATCATTTGAAACTACAAATGGCCACATAAGTTATCGCATGGCAAGCACCTGTAAAGTATCGTTTTTGTTTTCCAGATTTTTTCAATCAACCTATAGCAATTTGTAAAATTAAACTTAGTCGAAATCGAAACACTTAGTTGTTCGAAAGATCGTGTACATGATATGATGGTAAGAAACTAAACCCAATCAACATATCTCAATAAAGATCACACAATTAGACAGTGTAAGATTTTGATTCTGTGTTCTTGAGAATCCACGAATCAAATCATAAATAGAAGCGATCGTCTGAAAATCAAATGAACCAATTATAATACCACAAACTGATGAAAACCCACTTTCCCACTTCCAAAATCAAGATCACACACAAACACATACACTCAAACACGAAACAAACGCTATAAAAGAGTTACAGTTCGNNAAAAAAAATCCAACAGCAAGTGAAGAAGGTTCAAATTAGTACCCCTCTGATTCTGAAGGACATGGCTAGTGCTTCGAAAAGATGAAACGGATGATAAACCAGATGAAGGCCCAATATTGCAATAAATAAAAACGTGGGTTTTGGCTGTGGATGAGAAAACTGGAAAGGGCTATCGAGGTTGTGTTCAGAATGTGATTGCCACAAGTGTTCGACGAAAAGTCAGAATATATTCTTTGCTTTGTATTTTTTTCTTTTTCCACAAAATTTTATCATGAATGTTCTTTTATAGATTTTGAAATTTGTATAAAAATAGAGATATTTGACGATATTGAATATTAGGAATTAAAACAAGGTAATGGGAAATAAAATCTATGTTACTCTTTTTGTGCTTCATTTTAAATGGTTTTTAGTTTTAAAATAAAGAAAAAAATAATCCTTAATTAACTTCCAATTTCGTTCTAACTAAAAAAATGGTTTACAATTCAAGTTTATAAATATTATTTTAAAATTCAGGATTAATAATAAATAGTATTTATGAAGGGTTTGAGTTTCAAGATATAACTACTTCCGGTTGATACTTTTAAGTTTAATAAATAACAGTTAATATTAATTTATCAGAAAAAAACAGTTAATACTATTAAGTAATGGGATTTGATTTGTTTTACTGTGTCAAATGACGGTGCGTAGGGAAAACGCTGCTTTCTTTATGTTCTTTTCCTTTTCTTTCCCTTTTTTTCAATCTTCCTCTATCTTATAAGGCACGTTTATTAGCCCGGATTAGATTGGATTGTACCTCCAATCCACCATTTATCTTGCGTTTGTTTTTCAAGACTCTGGCCCGCAAGATAGTATAAAGCCCGCGATGCACAGTGTAATTATTGTGGGAAACAGCGATTATTTGATCTTGCGTAGGGGGTAGGATATTTTCTGTCGGTACAGTATTAACTATTTGAATTTACTACCTTGTCCCTAAAAGTAAATAATGTTGACCATCTTCACCTCGGTCAATGCAAAAATTACTTATTCTGCCACAACCTTACTAATGCAAATTATTCACGCCATGTTTTTTTTTTATTTTTTATTTTATTATATTATACTAAGCTTAAGTTGCAGAACCCGGGAGCCGAGGAGTCCGACGCGTGGAGCGTCTACAGTGCTACCTGCTTCGGCGAGCCCGCTGGAAGCTCAAACAAGAACAGGCTGAGGCTGGCGGAAGAGTGGCTGAGGGCGGCCGTCTCGACGGTGGTGTCGCTGCTCATCAAGCTCTTGCCGGAGTACAATCCCTCTGATCCCGGGTTCCTATGTGAATCGTCTATCTTGTACTTGATTTCATGTACCGATCAGAAATAAACCTTTGAAACCACCGGATTTCGGCAGATTTCAGCGGCGATTAATTGATTTTGTGGCCTCAATTGAACGAAAATTGGGGAATTTTTTTCAGCTGGAATTTGAAAATAAATCTCCTCAAAGGTTGGAGCTAAGAAGTGGACATTAATAAATGGAGCTTTTTCAGAGTGTGCAGAAATGGTTGAGAGAGATACAGGGGAGCTTTGCTTATCTTCTTGTGTGTATTAATGGCAATTTACAGTTACAGTAGAGAGAGAAGAGCTTTTCGTATCTTCCTTTGTTACACATACCATTTGTTAAATATATGGGCAAATTTGTAAATGTCCATCTTATCCTATTCACAATCTAGGAAAACAAACCTACAAAACAACTTATTATGATAATCTTATCTTGAGTAAATCAAACATAACAAACATAAGTTTAAATGAATCTCTATACCTCAATCTTGGAACCCTAGATAAAAATTATCTAATCCGGTCTCCTTTAACAAACATGCTCTAAGTAAACCATGTTGCCCTTCTTTGCCCGCCACGTGGCATCCTCCATTGGCTTCCATTTCAATCAAAACGACACTGTTTTCGGTCCCGTTTTCCAAACTTTTTTTGTTCTCTTTTTTTGCTTGTTTTTGATCTTTTTAATTCGGTTGAAAAATTCAATTAGACTGAAATACCCTCATTTTATACTGCTCGTAGAGGCTATTTCGTCATTTCTAGACGACAGCTTTTCCCTTCTCGGCAGAATTTACGCCCGCACGCAATCTGATTTTGACTTTCAATCTACAAGAAGACTACATCAAATCGTGCTTTATACGAAAGAGAGAAGATAAATCGGAAACCCTAGCATTAAATAATTGGCCGAGTTCATCGGTTGTCTTGCCATTCTCTTGGCTTTCTTTTTTCCTTTTGGATATAACCGGACTTCCCAACCGTCGCCGGCATGCCAATCCCGTTCTCAATGCTCAGTCGCACACTGCTCTCGCCGCGCTCAGTGGAGCAGTCGGCCGTTCCAGCTTCTGTTCTATTTGCGTCTTTTCGACTGTTGAGCCAAAATTGCACCCTCGATCGAAGGCGCTGTCTCTGGTAGGAGGAACAAGAAATTGCAGTCGTCATCTACTTTGCCGCCGGCGAAATCATCCCCGATGACGTTTTCCGAGAACATAGGTATGGAAAGGTTTAAGATTGTCTGCTACAGTCTGCGCGCCGCCGATGGCCTACCGGAGGGACGATTTGCAGGCAGAGCAGCATGACGGAATTATAGGATGTGTTCTCTACTGTAAAACATCGTACAGTTCTTCATCCGGAGGTACCGTTTGGTCTTTTTCTACCAAGATATAGTAACCAGTTGTAATTCAGCAAATGATTCTATTAGAAATTTTATCTTAATATCTATCTTCTCCCTTATCGTAAATTCCCTCTTCATTTGCTTCCATTTTTTTTTTTTTTTNCAAATTTATCAAGGTCGAGGTAGTTTTCCAATGGATTCAGTCGAAAGATCTGTATAAGAACTTCGATATTGGACTCTATATGGAATGGTTTTTGCCGAATTGTCTACTATCACGGGAAAATTTCGTTAGCCTTCTTTACTCTTTGGTGGGTATCTATTTCCTCATTTTCTCAACCATTAGGTGCTTATTTATTGATTATTTACTGAAATTTTGTTATTCAACAGTGCAATATAAATTGTTTGGGTTGCTAAAAATTTGATACTTGGAAACTGATTTATCGATCTATTTATTTTGTAAATTTCTCATGGCTAGAAGAGCAAGTTCTATAGCTCAGGCGACCTGATTCTTCATATGTCCCGATTCAACGGGTGCCCTCTGACCAGGCGTATTGAGTGAGAACGTCGAGAAAAGAATTCAAGGTGGCTCGTTTCAATGAATTCAAGGTGGCTCGTTTCAAGAAGGACCCGGAAGACGTGACGGGGCTGACCATCGGAGGACAGGTGGCGATCGATAAGCTCGTGGAGAAACAGAAGCAGCAGGTTGAGAATGAGAGGAATGAATCCCGTCAGCGATGATATGTTTTGGTGGTAAGTGTAACTAATTGGGTTCGTTCATTCCTTTTTTGGATTTGCTATTGTGATAATTGAAGTGGCAATGGGTATTGCAAATAATTATGCTTTCAAATTTGAATTTGTGGGATTTCAATATGTTGCTTCTGCACATAAAATTAGTTTTTAAAAAATTTATTGAAGATTTATGATTCTTATTGTGAATGATTTTCGAGTCTTAATACGAAATATATTGTCGATTTATAATTTATTAGTGTTGAACAATATTCAAAAGAAATTCTAGAACTGTGGAATCTCAGTGTTTGGTTTCCAGGCAAGGTCTTCATGATAGGTATACTCTGAGGAAAATGCTAGAACCACAGACAGAGGTATGCAAAAAGGCGAAATTAATGTATTATATGGAGTTTTTGGCAAATGGACTCATCAACTCTGAGGTGCCAGCTGAATTTGCTTGAAGAAGAATGTCATCCTCTTCAGTTGGCTCTCTTGATCAACATAAACATCTAAATTGGAATATAAATGGTTTTGTCTATGCACACACATGCAATGCATTTGTTTGAAGTGAAAATTTATCTGGTACCACAAACTGTAATAGAAATAGGAGTTACAGATTTACAACTAACAAGAATCTCATCCTGGATGCTTCTGTTTTTTTCTTTAATTTGGAGAGAGCGTCCGGCTTGGCTGTTTGGTGGGAAAAGGACTTGGGGTCGAAAAAACTTACAGATAGAACCTACAGCAAAAAAATTGGGCTCTCGTCGACGTAGAAGATGGGGTTTCCGACGAGCCAAGGGCTGCAGGGTATGTAGCTGATCCTCATGTATTTATTTGAAATTTCATAAGGTAGCAAGATGGGGATTTGCTGATGAATTTTGCTTGTTGTCCTCCGTATAGTGCAATATGGGTATAGTGCAATATGCTTCCAAACCGAAGGATAATTTCTTGCACGTATTGAGTTCCATGTTTTCCTCCTATTTTAATTGTCGTTTTTTATTCTTATTTTTCAAAACATAAGCAGGACTTGAGATGCATGAAAAGTCGCACTGAAGTAGTCTGAGATGAATCAATAGTTGCCGCTGCAGTTTATAATAGATATTGAATGGATAGGGTGGACTGGATAATACATGTGTGCAGGATCATTGTCCATGTAAATGTGAATATTTTGACAATGTTAGACTATGCATTTGAGTGTAGTTTGCACAGTCTGTTATTTGTATGAGTGTGATTTGTTCATGTTTAACTATGCTTGACTGCCGCTTGGACTGCATTATTTATGCGTGTGATTTTTGTATGTTGTCTGTGAGGTGTGTACTCTGTGCACACAACAAATGAATATTACTAGGTCCCTTTTCATGACCCAATATTTGTTTTAGAGTTGTAAATCAGGAAACCACAGTTGTCTCATTGAGCGAATTTGTCCATCGCAAAGTCAGGAGTGCAGATATTCTTTGTGATACAAAGACATTCTCTTTTTATTCAATGTAATTGAGACTTTATGGCTGGTCAGGTTTAACAGTCTCAAAAGCACATAGAGTACATGCAGAAAAAAACACCCAACTACCAGGTATTGTTTTCTATTTAACCTTTTAATTAACTGTTGAACGCGAAAGCAACTTCCATAATGCTTCATTATCCTAAATGGCTAAAACAAAGTTCACTTGTAATTTTCTTCTGAGCTCTTGCACAGGGGACTGTATACTATGCAGGCGGAGGATATTTTCCGCCGCTCATTTCTCAGGGTAATTAGTGAGAACACTGAACAGCCGTTTAGAATTATGATTTCTGAGCCATCACCAAGGATTTTTACATTTGAGTTGTTGTAGGTACGTTTCTGTGAAATGTTGATGGCTGAGGTGATTTATATAATTCTACTATCTTACCTCTTATTTATGAGATTGGAAATTGAATAAATTGCAAAATAATCAAATACAAAGAACTGCAAAAGTCAAGAGAAAAGCTCCGCCTAGACTTTTATGAATTCAGTAGTAATACACTTCAATTTATTTGTTTATATGCGTATAGGTGAATCCTGTTACCATTCACCATTGTTGGCTGACTCCAACTAGGAAACGACATCTATAATATAGATTATATTATATTACCATTGACCTCGTTACTCTGTTCCTGAACATAACTGATTGTGGATTGCAAGTATCCTTGGTACTTATTTAACGATGCTCATATTATTCTTTAATGGAAGGAGAGTTCTGAGGTGGGCTCTAACAAGTAACAAAAGGACTAGCACTCTTGACAAGTACTTGGTTATATGGTGCTTAAGTTATTTATTTGTTTAGTTCTCCCTATATAAGACTTCTAACTTCAAGGAATTTATTGTTATTTTCTCCCTGGATGCCTTTTTACATTTTCTGTTGTGATCTAATGATGCAGCTATTGCTAACCGTTTCCCTCAATTGGTCTCTGAGCAATTCATGAAGCTGAAGCAACTAACTGTGCTTACTCTGGTTGACACTAACAAGGTAGTTGCCATGCATCTCTCTATGTGTTTATGGGAGTTTGTACTGCATGCTCAATATAAAATAGTCATCTATTTCACATTAATATTAATTGCTTTTTAAAGATCAAAATGTTTTCCCTTTAAACTAATTAGAATACTTTTTAGAGCTCTGGAAAGTCATGACGTACTTTGTTCAAGAGCTCATGTGATTCATAACATCAGACATGAAATATTGTATAATAGAGTTGTATAAATAAAACTTACATAACAGAACTACTCTCTTCCAATAAACTTCAAGAATTATATCAATCTACTAAATTTTATCTGCTCATGCTTTTTTAGCTCCACGTGTTCGTTGTTCTTTACAAGCATGAAGTTAAACATCAAATTTTGCATGCATGAATATCCCTGTGTAGTTTGCTTTTTTATTTTTGCTGATTGGCAACTTTGGGCTTTGTGAGTTATTGGAGGGTGTATGATAGCAAACATGGAAGTAACAAAATCAGGAAATATTCTGGGAGGAAATCAAGGATATGATTCTTTTTTATTCTTCTCTTAGTTATATTTATTTTCTTTCTTAATTTGTAACCTCTAAAGATTATAAGTAGGACCCTCAATCAAGTGAAAAGGATAGACAAACATGTTTTTTAACATTTCATCAATTCAGCTCTAAACATTTCATGTTAAATTTTTACAATTATCTGAATTTATTGTGATTCTTTTTCCTTTTTTTAGCATGTTCTGCTCAAAGTTTGAATCTTGAAGGCTTCCTTTTCATATTGAAATGGGGAAAAACAGAGACAACAGAACATATATAGCTAGTCAAATACTTCCCAAATATATATATATATATATATATATATATATATATATATATATAAAACTCATGCAATTTATGTAAGTTGATGTTTTTAACTAGAAAATACTGTAGGTCTCGATTTAAAGAGGGCGTGCAGTGGGACGGGAGGGAATTACAATTTCAACATGGAGAGCATTTGTGGGGGTCACGAAGTTCGGATTTTTAGGGACCCATGTTGGTACATGAGGTGGACGGGATCCACTTGTCGTAAGAGGGTTACAGGCTAATGTTGGTCTGGTTGATGCGCCACCTTCTCTTGCTTATTAGGTGATGTTTTGGTGGTGGTGATTTGGAAATTTGTGAATCATGACTGTCAGGTTTTATTACGTTTTGATTGTCTTGGTTTTTGAATTTGGCTTGGTGGAAAGTTGAGAAGGCTGCTATTAGCACAACATGAGGTTTATGATGATACAAATGAAGAGATGAGAGGATAATATATTTATTAGTTCACTTGATAATAAGGATGAAATAATTCAAGAATGCGATCCTATTGATATACTTTGTTTGTGCGTGTGTGAGCCAATTTCATTGTCCTTCTGATCATGGAATCATAGGCTTATGCTCTATAAAAGATGAATTACCACTGTATATTGTTCTTCCACTATAAAACAATGGATTTAGGCTCGCGAGAAGATTTAGACTGAGCGCCAGCTTGAAAAATACCCTTCAAAGTTAATTGTAAATTAGCTATGCATGTTTAATTTTGAAAAGGTGAAATCTCGGGTATCTATGTAATCTAACATTTCCCTTAATATTACTACGAATAAGAACCCTAAAGGGGTTGTCCAAAAATAGAAGATTACATTATTATTAAATGTTGTGTAAATATGATGACCCAAATTCCATATATAATTTTAAGTTCCATTCTAAAAAGTAGACATTCTTCATTGGTACCGTATAATAACATTTAGAGTTAAAATCAAATGTGTGTTTCAATGCAACTTCAGCACTAAACAACTTTACATCAAGAACCATCAAGTAATTTCAAATTATATTGTAGTTGAATTTTAGTATTGTCGAACTTTTATCTTTGTACTACGGATTAGTGTATTTGAAATAATATTGTAGTTGAAGTTTCATGTAGCCTGACTTTTACATCTCGACTATAGATTAAGGCATTGTTAGTAAAATGAGATTTAACTCGATGCTTATTGTCGATAGTAATATTTTTAAAATGGTCGCGGCTATCGTGCTTTTAGTTATATATTATAAGAATAAATAAAAGCATGATACGTATGTACTAAAATTAATATTCAATTACTAACACACTTTTACAACATAGTATAAAACTCGATTATAGTTTAATTACATACTTAATTATGACAATAATTGGGCCGGCTGTGCTGTGCACAACCAGAAACAAACTAGTACGAATAACATATTTTAGTGAAATGTTATCCAGGCAGCATTTATTGGGTTTGTAGAAAGCCCAAATGCACGTAGCCAGCCCAGTCTAATATTCTTGAACTATGTGGATGCTATTTTACCTGGGCTTTAAGTTGTGCTCGTATCTTATTCGTGGGCTTGTAGTGGGTTATCCTTGAGAGTCGTAAAATCAAGCTAATAAACGTTTTTATAAGCATTAATGTCAATTTATATATTACTTTGTTAATTTATAGATACTCTTTTAAATAAATATTTATTTTATATATATATATATATATATTTATTTATTTTTTTTCGTTTTGGAAAAGGGCTTATAGTGACCTCATTTACAGCGTTTAAATAAATAATTAATTTGTTTAGAATGAGTTTAATAGCTACCTTGCTGAAATAAATTTATCATGGTATATATAATAGTGTTTATTAAGAAGCTCGAGCTTCTTTCGTAAATTTACTTATACAGTTATCAGAAATAACTCTTTGAATTTTTATTTCAACATACTATTCAGTTAAATTTCTTTAAATACCTTTATTATAATAGCTAATTTTTCAGCTATTAGAATAAAAAAACAATAACATATAATTTCGGAATCAACTAATTTTTTTCAGATACTTTTACTATAACATTTAATTTTTCAGCTATTTATAACACTTAACTACTTAAGTTAGTGTTGATGTAAAAAATCGGACGATCAACTGTTAAATAATAGTCGAATTTCTTGTATAGAAGATGAAGAAAAAAATGATAAAAATGTGTGTTTTATTTCTTTTTTTCTTGGAGAATGAATCCCCTCTCTTTTGGGTTGTTAGGGGATGAAGAAAAAAATGATAAAAATATGTGTTTTATTTCTTTTTTTCTTGGAGAATGAATCTCCTCTCTTTTGGGTTATTAGGGGATGAAGAAAAAAATGAATGGAATCCCCTCTTCTCTCTTCCTTTCTTCCTATATATACATCCCCCATCTTTTACAAATGGATAAACAATAAATAAAGTGTAGTACATTATTATTCAATGGGAGATAGTCGTTGTGGGACCCGCTTATAACTTTTGCTAGTTCTGACTGACGTCTGTCCTCTTAACAATTGCGACGTTCACCGGAGGCGGCTCTTTGTAATATCTGTTTCGTCCGATTTCTTCAGCTTCTGTTCGGCTCAACAACGGACGAACTCGCCATCTGGGGACTCGGTCGACTTTTAGATAATCGGCCTTGGGTACCAGTTTGTATATTTATTTATCATATATTTTCGGCTCCTTGGTTATCGGACCATTATTTATTATTTTATTTATTATTTATTAAATCGGAGCCAAATTGAGTATCAATAGGAGGCCCCCGAGTTTAGGACATGTTTTGGATTGAACTATTCTAAAGTCGCGTTTCTTTACAATTCGGCAATGTTTTCACCTCATGATATTTTGAGCTTCGAGCTCTTTCTATTGTGTAAGGATATACGCGTAACGAGAGAGATTGGTGAAATTGCGAATGTGTATACGAGTGCGCGTGGTGGATAATTTTCGCGTGATTCATGAGATCACTTTTTATCTTGTCAGTTTTACTTAGATGGATCTAGCGTACGACTTTTTATTTTGTGTGTCTCGAGGACTTATTTAATCTTTGTTGAGCAACTTTGGTTACTCAGATCGTTGTTTTGTACGTATATATATATATATGTTTTATCGTTGAGGAGTTTGGCTTGGGTGCCGGTCAACTTGGTCGAGCCCGGCCTTTTATTTTTACTCAATTATGATGGCGCTTGCCTGATCGGTCTCGCGTTCGGACTCGACGGTTCTAGCCTGACCGGAGTCATCGTACTGAGGCCAGCCTTTTATTTTTACTTAGTTATGATGGCGCTTGCCTGACCGGTCTCGCGTTCGGACTCGGCGGTTCTGGCCTGACCGGACTCATCATACTGAGCCCGGCCTTTTATTTTTACTTAATTATGATGGCGCTTGCCTGATCGGTCTCGCGTTCGGACTCGACGGTTCTAGCCTGACCGGAGTCATCGTACTGAGGCCAGCCTTTTATTTTTACTTAGTTATGATGGCGCTTGCCTGACCGGTCTCGCGTTCGGACTCGGCGGTTCTGGCCTGACCGGACTCATCATACTGAGCCCGGCCTTTTATTTTTACTTAATTATGATGGCGCTTGCCTGATCGGTCTCGCGTTCGGACTCGGCGGTTCTGGCCTGACCGGACTCATCTGGATGTGGACATCGGCCTCGCCGGAGCGAGGGCTCAACGGCGGGCGAAGTAACGACGTCAGCCCGGCAGAGCAGGGGCTCGTCGCCGGACAGGATGGGAACGTCGGACCGACCGAAGCGAGGGCTCAACAGCGGGCGAAGTAACGACGTCAGCCCGGCAGAGCAGGAGCTCGTCGCAAGACTGAATAGAAACGTCGTCTGGTTGGAGCGAGGGCTCAACGGCGGGTGAAGTAACGCTGTCAGCCAGGCAGAGCAGGGGCTCGTCGCCGGACATGACGAAAACGTCGGCCCGGCCGGAGCGAGGGCTCAACGGCGGGCGAAGTAACGACGTCAGCCCGGCAGAGCAGGGGCTCGTCGCCGGACAGGATGGGAACGTCGGACCGACCGAAGCGAGGGCTCAACAGCGGGCGAAGTAACGACGTCAGCCCGGCAGAGCAGGAGCTCGTCGCAAGACTGAATAGAAACGTCGTCTGGTTGGAGCGAGGGCTCAACGGCGGGTGAAGTAACGCTGTCAGCCAGGCAGAGCAGGGGCTCGTCGCCGGACATGACGAAAACGTCGGCCCGGCCGGAGCGAGGGCTCAACGGCGGGCGAAATAACGATGTCAACCCAGCAGAGCAGGAGCTCGTCCCCGGACTGAATGAATGGAAACGTCAGCCTGGTCGGAGCGAGGGCTCAACGACGGACGGAATGATGACGTCGACCCGGCAGAGCTGGGGCTCGTCGTTAGGCTGGATGCAAATGTCGGTTTGGCCGATGTGAAGGCTCGGCGGCGGTAACGGGGATAACGTCGACCCGGCAGAGCAGGGGTTCGTCGGCGGGCGTAGCGAAGGTGTCGACCTAGTCGAAGTGAAGACTCGACGTCGGTAACGGGGATAACGTTGGCCCGGCAGAGCATGGGCTCGTCGCCAGACGTAATGATGGTGTCGACCTAGCCGAAGTGAAGACTCGACAGCGATAATGGGAGTAATGTCGGCTCGACAGAACATGGGCTGGTCTGCGGGCAAGATGTAGGTGATGAAGTCGGCCCGGCTGAGCAGGGCTCGTCGGCGGGCTAGGTGGTGGTGTCGTCGGCCCGACTGAGTAACGGCTCGTCGGTGGGTTGATTTCCTTCAGACGAACTCGATGTCTTTCTCACTTATACACTTCAATAGGAATAAGGGTGTCGAGCACTCTCCTCCAAGCCATTCGCCGACCACGATCGTAATCGAACAGTCCGGGTACGAAGCAGGCTGGCCTCTTTTGGGTCAGACGACAATCTCCCGACCACAAGATACGAGTGGTCTGGCTCTGATCATAAATCGACCCGTACGCGAAGCTACTTGGCCTCTTCTAGGTCAGGTGGCTACGCCCCGGCCTCGAGATACAACCAGCTCTGCTCCATCCAGGTCGGGTCCATGTTATCGGCAGTCTGCCCGACACACAAAGTAGAGGTGTTGGCCATGGGCAGTTACTCCTTGTGCCCAACCTGGACGTATTCGACACTCCGCCCCGGTGTTCGAAGCGAGTCGGGGAGAAATAATTGTGCCGTCCCGGCCGGAGCGAGGGCTCAACGGCGGAGGAGGTAGCGACGTCAGCCCGGCAGAGCAGGAGCTCGTCGCCGGACTAGATAGAAACGTCGACTCAGCCAGAGCGGGGGCTCAACGGC